ACAGTATTAAATTATAACATACAATCTGGGCCTGTGTGTTAAGTTATATAGAAGTTTTGAAGTATTGAAGATGAATTACCTACAATATTAGTAATACTTTTCCTTAGAGACCCATATTTTAACATTTCTAAAATGAAATTGACATCTTTACAATTAAAAACATATTTAAGGCTTTTGAAGGGCTTTGAATATAAAGCTTATAAACTTGAGATGTCCTCTTTTGTTTAGAATTTGATTTTGTCTTTAGTCATCCATTCACAAAAATAATTTTTACTCATCTGTCTTTTGAAATAACTAGCAAATAATAGCAACAAAGAAGCAAAACAACAAAAAATAAATAAACAACAGTTGCCCTTTGGCTATTAAGACCGAATATCTTTCTTTTTCTATTGTTTTATTTTGCGACGTGACATTTAGACCTACAAGCTCTGTGTACAGCAGCTAACTTAATATCAATTTTCTATACACTTTTGGCAGCATGAGGTCTACAATCATTGTAAAGCAACTTCTGCCAAGACAACACTGAGCCAACAATAGACTGTCCTGTAGCCAGGGGATTTAATATATATTCACCACCCAGCCTACACATCTGTTACAAATACACAGTATAAGCGCAGCACATACACTTTGGACCTTTTCCAAGAGTTCATTCTGCATGTTGTATGTCCCTTTTCAATTAACATTAATGATTTCTTTTTCTTATGGTTGGTTCATGAATATCAAAATTGTATTCAAATAATTCATGTAAATATAATGTGGGAATTGGCATATTTTGAAAACAGAAGTACAGAACTCAAACTTCAGTTCTAATTCGTTAAGCATACATTCCCTAGATCATACAAATTACTAGAGACAGCCAAGTGGAGAAATCACACACACACACACACACACACACACACACACACACACACACACACACACACGTTTAATTACGTGCTGTTGAGCAGCTGTTTCTTTAATGCATTCCGCGTTTATTGATTTGAAAGGTCTCTGACACTGAATTACGCTATAGATTTTGGCATTTCAAACACACGCATAGACGCACCCAAATATCCATACTAATTGACTTTTTAGCATTCAGAAGGTGCTCTATTAGCAATGTATGCTAGTAAGCAAGTTCCGGATGTAGAAGTCCTGCTGAAGGAATGAACAGCAGGGCAGAGTGTGCTATTACTCTAAAAAAGAAGCTGGAGGGAATCCCATCTCCCACACATGTTGACTCACCCTTGCATGTTGAACAAAATAATACAAGCCAACTCCGCTTCAAAATGCTGAGGGCAATTGTTTGGAGAGGTAGTACAATGCCAAGAAAGAAATTATTAAGTAAAGAAAATGAATGTACTGCCCTTTGATATCATCTTAATCACAGATTGCATCAACAAAACCAAATCTTGAACCTGGCCTCAATGTCCTTGAGCAAGACACAAATGTCTGGGCTCACTACAGATTTAACCTAACCCAATGCAAAAGTCTTGCTTCAGGGATAATCAATATTGCAGTTTTTATATATGCATAACATATACACTCCATATGTTTATCTGCTAGCATTCTCTCAGCGTAACCCTCCACACACACACACACTCTCCCACAAGCTGCCTGGGCATCCATCCACCTGACAGCCCCCATGCACATACACAAACACACAAACACAACTCCTTATCCCACACACTTGGCATGGATGCCAACTAAGCCCCAGTTCTCCAGAAGTAATAAACCGTCTTTTCACTGCGTCTCTCCAAACCATGATAGAAGACCGCTGAAAGCCCCTGTGCTTCCATTTTAAACCCCTCAACTCATTTACTAGGACACTGATTGTTACTTCTGTGACCGTCTGTGTTGGTTGCACATAATGTCCCACATGCCACAGCCATGGGGAACAATTTGTTTTACACACAAATGTGTACACATACACACAGATCAGTAAAATGAGGCAGAATATACAATATGGACTACAAAGGTTTTTTAACATAAACAGGACACAGAACACAGGACTAAATTTTGTAAGTGAAGCTAAGAAACCAGCTAGTCTAGCTATGGATTCCAAATCCCCAAAAAAGTCTCGAAGGAAAAGGGAGACAGATTTCTTTGTTTCACCACACTTTCAACACTGGTATGTTTCATCAGCAGCAAGAAATGACTATAGCATATAAGGCTGAAATATGTTTTGTGGTTTATTTTTTGGCCAAAGATGGCTATTTGATAGTAAATGTAGCTAACCCCTGTTCCAAGGTAAAATTATGAATGAAATACCTATAAATATTACTTTCCATTTCTGCCAATAGAGCCTCCTGTTACACACTGGACCTTTAAAATATTAGTGATGCTATGAATTTAAAAACATGTAATTAAGTCTACAGATGACTAAAATCAGAAGAGATTACACTTTCTTAGTCTTATCATATATATCATGCTTCTTGTGTTGCCCAAGCAAAATTATCTTGTTTTGTTTGTTGTTTGGCAAATTACTGTGCAACAGTTTCAATAAAAAGGTGGTAAAGTAAAGTACTACAGGGTTAGAGTAAAAATAAGTTAACATAAAATAAAATAAATAAAACAAAAATAAAATAAATAAAATAAAGGCTAACATAAAATAAATCAAACAATTAACTAAATGCAACAAAATGCAAGCACTTACAGGTAACATAAGTAGAAAAGAAGAAAACAAGTAACTAAATGTGACAAAGTGCAACAAAAATTGCAGTTCAACGTAAGTACAGTATATACAATATACAACAATATGCACCGTGCAGCATAAATTGAAATAAAATAAGTACAAACTAAATAAGTGATAAGGAGCGATTGGATAAGTGGTAACAGTGGTAAAAGTCATAAAATTGTAGCAGCATTTGTTATCAGCATAAATTAACTATGGTACAGTACAACTAAGTAAAGTGATGAAGTGAAAATTGGGTAAAAAAATTGTAAAGTGACAAAGAATCAAAGAATTTAAGGTATTAAAATGAAAAAAGAATGACTGAAAAGACCTTTTTAGGACAACCACATATGACGCCCCAGCCTGTGCAAATGTGTGTGTGAATCGTGTGTGTGTGTGTGTGTGTGTGTGTGTGTGTGTGTGTGTGTGTGTGTGTGTGTGTGTGTGTGTGTGTGTGTGTGTTTGTGGTACCAGGAGGTGCAGGCATAACGGCCAGCGTGTGACTGAGCGCGAGGCAGCCCGTGTGCCTGCCTCCTCCTTTCATTTTTTTTCTGTCGATCAGATGAAGAGAAGCCAAAGAAAAATGACGGCACAAAAAAAGAAAGACTTAAGTGGGCATTTGGATTCTCTCTGAACCCATACCCCCTCATTTTGTGCTCATTTTCATGCTAGTGGCAAGTGATAAAAGGCGAAAAACTTTTTCATTCCTCCTGTGTGTGCGCGCATCTGTGTGTGTGTGTGTGTGTGTGTGTGTGTGTGTCCCTCCCAGTGAATAGAGCATTAATTGCATTAGCATTACAGCTGGGTGATTTCCAGTCAAAGAAAAACTCTGGTATCAACAAGGAAGGGATTTTCAAAGTCTTGAAGTGTGTTATTATTTTGTGCATTTCAATTGAACATTTTTTTGTGTAAAATGGCATGACACAAAGAGTGAAAGAGAAAACGAGCATGAGGAGACGGCTGAAGCAGAAAGACAGGAAGATTGCACTGATCAAGTTGGCCAAGTGAAATTGTTCACCCTTGAAACTGTAATATTGCCTTATGATAAGTTACTCCATTCCGATGATTCAGACATCCAAAACGTAAAATGACAGATGATAAATTGCACCTTTTTGCATTTAACTTAAAATGCAAATCATCTATTAGAGGCAACCAACTAAAAAGCCTACAATTTCCCCATTCATTGTCCTTTTGCAACTCCGAGGTAATGGAGGTAGGCGGGTTGTGGAAGTCTCCATATGTACACAACTCATGGAACTGATTTCTCTTTGCTCTGTTTTTTTAGTCAAAACAGCCAGAGCAATGTGTCTGCTAGTCTAGTCTTATAGTTTAGGGATATAATTATCATCGCAATCAATTCATCTTTCTAAAGGTTTGGCCTTTTTTGCTTAAAAAGTAACTTAAACAATTAGCAAAATAGCTGGTAATTCATTCTGTAGATCCATATATCAGCTAATCAACTGATCGTTTCCGCTCTAAGATAATGAACTGAAAGAAAATTATTTCTGGTGTAGGGGTCATTTGGGATGTAATGTATAGTTGCCATGCTTATGAAATTGCAAGCAGCTGTAGAACTTATTTTGACAAGTCAGGAAATTCAAAGCATACCAAAATTGCTCTTAATCAATATGGATTTAGATTTAAAGTTTCAGTGTGTAATATTTAGGATGAGATGATGTTTGAGATGATGGAATATAAACTTTGTAGGTATGTTTTCATTAGTGTATAATCACCTGAATATAAGAATAGTGTTTTCATTACATTAGAAAGGGACATTTTTATCTATGCAGAGAGCAGGTCCTCTTCCATTGAGGCCTCTATGTTGAACCACCATGTTTCTACAGTAGCTCACAACGGACAAACCTTGTTTTGCGGCCCTCGTAGTTTCTTCTACATACTTGGAAGGTTGAGCTGTATTAAAACGTTTCACCCCTAAATGAGACTAAATCCTACACACAAGTATTGATTCAGAATGCTGCGATACGAGTACAGACAGGAACTAGGAAAAGAGATCCTATTTCTCCTGTATTAGCTTCTCCGCACTGCCTTCCTGTAAAATTCTGAACAGAATTAAAAAATCCTCCTCCTCACCTACAAAGCTCTTCCTGGTCAGGCACCTTCATATCTTAAAGAGCTCATAGTACCCTATTACCCCACTGCACTTTCAGTCTCTGTCTTTCTCTCTTTACCGCCCACCCACTCCCTCCTTTGTATCTGGATATTACTTGTGGTCTTTCAAGTGGACAGTCCAGAAATGAGATTGTATTTTCAGATCATCTTCAAAATGTAAAATTCTATTCTAATGGCTATATAAAATAGTGTTGAGTGTATTTTGTGTTTTCAATACTTGATTGAGTTTCTGAAGTGGTCCTCTGCAGGATTTTTCACAGTACAGCTGTTGAGTAACCACAGGTCTGCTTCTGTTGGGTCATCTATAGAAAGAGAGAAAGTTCATTTATTTTTACAGAATACAATTACAAACATGACTTTATAAATGGAGAAAACCTTGATCTAACCAATCAACACATAATCAAATAATACAGGGATCAACAAAGCATAGGAAATCCTAAAAAAGCAAAACTAATTAATTGGTCTCTGGCACAGTTCCTTTGTGTCTGAAGCACGCAGTGGGTCAGCAAGTCTTCAAAAAGTCACACCCAAATGATCACGCGCATATCTGCAATTTTAACTCAGTCTCCAAATCGTCACATCTATTCAATGTTGTGAAAAAAATTGACTTCTTTCAAAACTACAACTTTGTTCCTTTACACAGAATAACCTTTTAAGATCTTCTCAGTATTTCAACTGTGTCTAATGAGTTTAAGATAATATGTAGGTATAGATATCACATTTGCAGAAAAAAAAGTTGTGGAGGCTCATTTAATATAATTAAAATGTAATTTTATTGGATAACATTAACCCAAGTGCATCTTAGGGTTTATTGTTTGGATCTTTCTTATCCCTTGACTAAAATAAATCAAATGATTTAATGGTTTTGATGTATTCTATTTTTAACATGAAAATGCATTTACTGTAGCATTGCCAGCTGTTTTTTAAAAGGACAAGTGTAACTAAATCATACTAGTGGCATCTAGCGGTCAAGTTGCACATTGCAACTAACTGAACACGGCTCGAGTCTGTATTTGACAACCTGAGAATGAGAACGGGCTATAAAGTGTGCAGGAGGATCTATGGTGGCCGTGGAGAATTCTAAAAAATGCAAAAGGCCTTATCTGCAGCCGGTGTTTGGTTTGTCCATCCTGGGCTACTGAAAAACATGGCAGTTCAACATGGTGGACTCCATGGGGGTGAAGGTCGGAATCTGTAGATAATAATGCTGCGATCCATTTGTTTCGTAAATCCCCTGCCCGAGTTGGAAAGTGTAAATCTCGCAGCTATCTCGCGATATTTCACCGAGACACACCCCCTTTTGGTTGCAATATCGACTGTCCCACTCGGGGCTCCTCAGAGTTCACCGAGCTGAACGAGGGTCAACGTACGACTCGCAAAACAAAGATGGCTGCGCCCATATTGAGATGTATTTTCTTTGTATTTGTACTACGTTGGTCGTTTTAATTTTGATTTTAAATGCTCTTACACACTTGTTTACATTGCTGCTTTAGTCCGGTCACCAATTTATGCATTGCATGGTGTTGCTGTGCGTGCAATACAATGTAAAGTTTTGTTTTCGAGCTGGTTTGCTAAATAGGCTAATGTAGCTAACAATAACACTAGCCTGCCACTGCCCCTGGTGGCTCGAGACAAACGCCACAGCACTTGTTCAAATTGAAATAGGCGAAAATGGCAAAATATTATTGAAATGTAAGATTGCAATAACGGAATTACTTAAAATGTCAGTGTTTCTGTAGAAAAACATTATTATTTCACATTGACCTGAAACAGTACCCAAAAAGCAATAACAAGACAGCTGCTGCACTGGTGGCGTCCATGTTCTTTCCGACTCGTAATGCCCAAAGACAAATGGAACGCTATAAGTGGTACACACGGCATAACTGTTCATACTAAGGTAATGAAAACACAACAATTCCTATATTCAGGTGATTACACACTAATGAAAACATGTACATTATATTCCACTGAAAGCCAATAGGGCTTCCTAAATGTTACATACTTAATGTGCTTTCTAAATGAAGTATTTTTTTGTATGTAGACCCTACCAAAAAGATCCCAATCAGGCTCTCACCGAGTAAGGTCTACATGCTGGATTATAAAACTATAATCACTTTATAACCACTCAGGGTCCACTTAGTACCTGAGCTTTCAACTGCATCTCACTGTCTTCCATTCACTGTTGCCTATCCTAGGGCCTCTATCAACCTAGATTTTTTTTTAATACCGAGAACCACTCATTGTTACTTGCCAAACAAGACTTGTTTGTGGCCACAATTTGCAGAAAACAAAATTCTAACAAACACCTATGTTCACAATACTCAAAAACAGGCCTATTTTGACATTATGAGTTACTTAAACTAAGAAGGTTATTTAAATATTTATAATTGACATGTACACACACACAAACACACACACTGTGGTATGTTGCTCCTTGTGATGTTAAGCTAGGCTGCTGCTCAAGATGATGGTGGCAGGCTTTGCATGGCACTGCCAGGAGAGCTGTCACACACAAAGACACACACTCAGGGGGATATGGCACGGCGATGGTGGGGAGGTGAACGCTTGCTCCTTAACGTCGCGCTGAACCAGATATTTCACTTAGAATACACTTCCCTGCTGCAGTCAAGCATACACACACCCCACTCACACTGTATTTCCTGCATTAGTTAATTTGATACACACCCGCAGCACTTTTCTGTAACACACATAGCAGGGTCCCAGGATGCAGAGAATGGGGAGATTACCTACCACACCACACCACACCTAGCCTTAGGTAAACTCTGATTCTCCATCCCTCGCTCTCAACTACCCACACACACACACACACAGTTGAACGTCTATTCACAATCTTGAAGACTGAACAATCCAATATCTTAGTTGCACATGATTAGGGATCAAAGATCCACTGCAGTGGCACTGGCATCACTTGTGAAATAATATCAGGGTGTCTTGTCAAGTTTCAATACGTTGAAATCAAAACCGTAATAATGCCAAGGTTTAAAATAGCAGGTTTCACAACTTTTAATCCACAATTCTTCAGTACTTTTAAAAGAACATTCAAATGATGGAGTAATATTGGATATTTTTATATTTTACAGCTTTTCACTGCCTGTAGATGGCTTGGAAATAGACACCACAATATTAATAAAATGTGAAAACACACCAGTGTGAGTCTTGAGGTCTGTAGCTGTTGTTTCAGACAGTAGGAAAGGCTAGAAGTCTCATAAAAACAGTAGTACAGATGTACGTCTTGTAAAAGCAGCGTGAGTCACACCGATAGGACATGAATCATGTGTTGGGTTTGGGTTAGTTTGTTTGGGCCTTTGTGTGTCGTGGGAAATCATAATTTCTTTGGGACAAGACCATAAATAGAAAGAAATAAATACTGAGAAATCCAAAAGCCACAAACACAAAACCATGAAATGTATGTGGGTGTATGTATGCATAATAAAGAAATTAATAATCAAGAATTAATTGATACTCGAGAGAGACAGTGAGAGAATAAGTTCAGCTGGCAAAGGGTGGGAGTGGTCTCAGCTGTGTAGTTGCTCTCTCCTTTCTGTCCCGAGGGAGGTTTCCAGACCAACAATAACAAGCTCTCCATCAATTTAACACACACACACACACACACACACACACACACACACACACACACACACACACACACACACACACACACACACACACACACAAGACAAATACAAACATCTACAAAACAATCCTATCTACAGAGTCAGCAACTTGCCAGTACACAGATAAAAACTACACAGGAAAAGAAAGAGCTGCAGTAAAACAAAAACAGGAGTAATCCTGCATGGATTCTTTTGCTCAGTAGTTTCTGAACAACTATTTACGTACAAATCCACTGAATACATTTCCATGAATTAATTAATTATCATTATTATTATTATTATTATTATTATTATTATTATTATAATATAGCAGTGTTTCCTCTATGTTGATTTCGGAGCAGCGGCCCGCCACTGTTAAATTTCCGCCGCCACGGTATCAGAAATGGGGCAGACGCACAATGTAGTCACGGTTGCCTTTTAAATTATCCTGCCGACATAATGCACCCCCGTTGGCTACCGCTCACATTGCAATTTAACAACAAGTAGAACTATTCAGAGGTTATTGGGGCTGTCCAGTTTAACTCCACATACTGTTTTGTTGATGTAGCTTATTGTCAAAACGTTCGCTTTCTTCCAAGGTTGTTCGGACGGGCCTGCCCCACTGCTAAAAAAAAATCCTAGAGGAAACACTGTATAGTTTGTAATATGTTCATTATTTTGAGGTTATCAAATAGTTATTTCATAATTTGTATTAAAGGTCCACTATGTAACATTTAGGAGGATCTATTGGCAGAAATGGACTACAATATTTAGTGTGTAATCATCCAAAAACAATAATCTATGTTTCCATTACCTTAAAATTAGCAGTTTACGGCTGTCCTGGACTTAACATTTTCATCATTCAGTCATTAGTTAAAGGCAAAAGCGGTAATCATTCTGAATGTGTCAGAACAACCAGCAAGAAGACTGAACATTTAGTTAATTTATTTCAGCACAGTATAACATCACAAAAGTCTCGTTCAAAACACAGAATAACTTCCGAAAACAAAAACTTATCAATACGATGGATGATGCATAACGTTACAAATCAACTCGCTACAAACTCGCCCTTCTCTCCCTTCACAAATCTCCTCCTCCTCTCCCCAGTGTCATGGCCACTTGGAGACTGCTGAGCCCGGCTCCGTTGGCCCTCTCTGACTATGCTTTTCATTAATTTCCTCGGCAGTCCAAAGCCCTTATGCTAGTGGTATAAACAAACCGCCTCGTACTTCTAGCTTGGTCCAGATACAGTCAGCTAACTAACCAGTGGCAGCAGCTTGTTAAAAGTTGTCGGAAAGGGCTGTCAAGTAAGAAGTGTCTATAGCCTAAGCTTAAACCTTATTACTTTATTAGCTGGGCCTTTTTTTGGTGTGCTAAAATATGTTTTGTTGCTGCCCCCACCCACAGCAGTGCATTGCTTAGCTTCCATGCTGGTACTCTCTCTGCTTCTCCAAACTCGGGGCATGCTGATTGCCGTCTACTATAGGTAATACATTGACTATTGATGAGTACCTCATACAAACCCACTTCAAGAAACACTGTTGCCAGAGTAGGAGGTTTAAAATCTGCCAAAGAAAGAACCTTGCTTTTAGTCTTGTGTTCACTTGTATGGTGTAAAATATTAGCGAACTACATCACTTTGCCTCGATGAATGTAGACATTGCTGCATATCTCACAAAATGCAAAAA